AAGGGAGGAAGGGAGGAAGGGAGGAAGGGAGGAAGGGAGGAAGGGAGGGGGAGAGGGGGAGAGGAAGAAGGGAGGGAGGGGGAGAGGAAGAAGGAAGGGAGGGAGGGAGCACAATTAGTTAGATTCAGCTGCCAGACAATGAAATGATCCATACTGTCAAGACTGTCAATCACTGCAGCAAATATCAGCCTTCAACATGATCTTAGGGGCATCTCTGCCACATCTCAGAAGACAGCTTTGTGTGCAGAAGCATGTATGTATCACTTCTGCAGCATTAGGGCCTATGACAGCGGCTGTATACACATTTACAATGAACTACATTTAGCGGAATTTAAAGCAATTTGCTTCTGAGTATGCTGCCATACCAGCATACGGTAGGAAAATTATTTTGTTTATGCAACTAGCTAAAACATTTCTGCATGTAAAAAAAAATTGCAATGACCAAATACAGATATTTGTAAACCTAAAAAGGGGTCTTACTCTAATGCAATCTTGTTTGGGAATATCAAAGGCATTCTCAATCTGATGTTCAACCATCTCTGGATTTGCATTCTTGAGATCAATCTGCAAAACAACGCTACTATTATGCTAGTTTCAACTAGAACAATCCCTACCGTGCAGCAAAGTCTGAATTCTATTGTGGCAAAATGAGAAAAGACACGTATTCATTGATATTTTTTTGGGGGGGGGGAGTATTTGCACATTTACCTTTGTTAATCTTTTACTAATAATCTGAAAAAATGCCTGGATCTTTTTAAGGCAAAGAAGACTATTTAGAGCCAACACATGAAATTAACAGCTTGATAAACAGAAGTGTGATCTTAGTAAGCACCTAAAATAATTCCTCATTTAAAAAAAAAAACTACACCAGTTTGGTGCAGTGGTCAAGGCACCAGGCTAGAAAGCAAGAGACGATGAGTTCGAGTCCTGCCTGAGGCATGAAAGCGGCTGGGTGACTTTGGGCCAGTCCCTCTTTCTCAGCCCAAACCACCTCACAGGGTTGTTGCGGGGAAAATAGGAGTTGAGAGCATTATGCACCGCTTGAATTGTACAAAATAAAATCAGGATATAAATCTAACAATATTTTACAACGTTGCTGCTGTTTCAAAGAAAGAAGACGGGCAAAAGCAGAATTGTTTTTCAGAGTTTACTCTGGATAAGCTGAAACAGCTCTAGGTCCAATCATCACACATAACTCGACACTTAAGAAACAGGAGGAAAGTGGAAAGTTAAACTAGGCAAAATCTGGAAAACAAAATGAAATACCAAGAGAGATCAAGGACTAACATCAGAAGATTACACACGGCCTTAAAACTAGGAAACAGCACGAAAAGGCAGTCAAGACAGCTAGCGCAGGGCCAATCCTACTGTTACTGATCTCTGTCGCAAATGAAGTCAGTGGGTATTATTTGCAAAGTACCTAAAAATAACCAATCCTGCGGAGAATGCGGGAAATATTACCTTATTTATAACAGGAATGATTGAGAGTTGTGCTTCAAAGGCAAGGTAAAAGTTTGCTACCGTTTGAGCTTGGATACCCTAGAAAAACAAGAGTTGCAAACAGTTTACGGCGGGGTTTGCTTCTGTTTGCAAAAGGCTGCTTAGCAGAACAGAAACCGCAAAGAGGTTAGCGTGCCTTTCACTGCTCCTAATCATGAAACAAAGATTAGCCGTAAAGAAATGGCAAAAAAGAGAGCAATTCACATTCTTTAGATAGCTAGCTTGGTTTAGGTAGAGAAGCTCTCCTACTGCAGTGACAAACGTGACCCTCACCATGATTAAGCCAAAGCAAAGACAAATTTATCACAGTTGGGGTTACAACCACAATTGCAACCTCGAGTCCTCCAAATGTACTGAACTACAATTCCCAGTCCATACGGCTGTTCTGGGGGTTGTGGTTCATTGAGTACCTGTTTAGGATAAAGCAGCACGTCTTGTAAGTGCCCACAATGCAGACACGGTCGTCCAGCTCCCCCCTCTCCCACTGTGTTATTTTATATTTTTCATTTATGTTCCATCGTTGTCTTTCAATGAGGACTCAAGGTGACTAACAATTTTTTTTAAGTTTCATTTAAATTAAAATCAATACTAAAACCGATTGGCAATTAGAAGACTGGCGAATGAGATGAATCTTTACAGCAGGGTTGCTCAACCTTATCAACTTTAAGATGTGTGGACTGCTGGCTGGGGAATTCTGGGAGCTGAAGTCCACACGTTTCAAAGCTGCCAAGGTTGAGAAACCCTGAAGATTTTCTAAACCCCAAGACAACAGGAACAAACTCCCACTTACTGATTGTATTTTAACCCTATTTTAAAAATGACTGTTGCCAAAGGCCACATAGGTGATGACATCTCAAGAGGGAGCAGAGTTGGATTTTTGCCCCTTCCTTTAAAAAAAATTCTTTTTTACAAAGTTGGGGGTTGGGGATAGTAAAATAGGTACTATATGTTAAGTTTTGCCCTTCAAAAGGGCACTGAGTATAGTTTGGCCAACCCATATAAACAGATTTTTTTTTTTTAAATTCTGGTTGAAAAATATACTTAGCTGGTTTGGGTAATAGCGTCCATACAGGAAGGCAGAATCTGTCCCTTTTGTATGAATATGTACATTGTGAAGTTGAGCATATGTACAAAAGAGCTTGCATTGTTACTGATCCTGCACACACTTCTGGTTTTTGAAAAAATACAATGCCCTTGTTTGGGACAAAAATAGCATTGATGGTCACGAACCTCCAGCAGAAGAAAGCATTAAAAGAAGATTCACTTCTATTTCACAAGGTGAAAAATCACAGCTGCTGTTTTCAGGGACGTGCTACCCTATCTTGGTGCACAATCTCGGGGGCTCCTAAAGTCACGTTTAAAGGCTGCACCCAACCTCTAGGCTCCAGATTTGCCACCTCTGAGCAAGGACAATAAACTTTTTAACATCATAGTGGATTCAATGGCACTGCAGCTCAGCAAGACATCAGCCATTTTTATCACTAATTCCTTAATCTGTCTAGTTCTGAGGAACTTGAGGCAGACACGCAATCTCCAAAATCCTTAACAGAGTTTAAGAATACAAGTTAATACAGACAGACCTTCGCGTGTTCCAAACTGGTATATTCTTTCACTCAGTTCATTTAAGACTGCAGGCTAGGATCACAAACTCCTATTTCTTTCGCAAGGCAGGAATGCCTATGATAGACCCCCTTTCATCCTGTTTCATATTTTTAAAAGTTATTCACAGGACATCTGTTGGTTCTGGTGAATCAGTTTTCCACATCCACATCTGGAACTGGAAACTTTTTCGTTTCTTCAGGAACAATTCAACTTAGTTTCTAAAGCCTACCTCATTTGCGTCTACTACAAGCAAGACTCCTTGACAAGCCGACAACGATCGCGACACTTCATAGTTAAAATCCACATGACCCTACGCAGAGGGGAAGAAAAATCTGATGAAGAGCATCAACAGATTGCCATGAAGATTTCATGTTGCCCGCTACTTATTTATCAGAAAAGCCTGAAACCAATTTCAACCCATTCCCGTCATCCCTTCTTGCCTTCCCACAGGTACAACAGAAGCTATACCTTAATCCCTGGGACCAGTGATAAATAAATAAAGTTTCCATGACAGGAACCAATGGCTGCAACATAAATCTCTTTATCAGCTTAAAAGAACCGGCAGAAGTTACGTGGCAACGTGTGCATGTGGAAAACAGGGCTTCGATGGCCTTGTTACGGCCGCCATTTTGGCACTGTCGATGGCCCCTGTTGATGCCGCCGAGATCGCTGCATTTGCACTTGTGATCTCATAATCGTTAAGGAACTACTTCTAGACTTCCGTATGTCTGGATGCTTTGCCAGCCGGTTTGGTTTACAAACTCTCTCAGCAACTTAAGTCTCGTTTAATGAATTAGCTGTATTAGTGTGAAACAGCATTATGGTCAGTGATTAATTATGCTGCATTTTACTCTTGCATGATAATAATAGGGTTTCATCTAACCTCAACGACATGTCGTTTAATGAATTAGCTGTATTAGTGTGAAACAGCATTATGGTCAGTGATTAATTATGCTGCATTTTACTCTTGCATGATAATAATAGGGTTTCATCTAACCTCAACGACATGCAGAAGGATTGCTTATGGCTAATATATCAGGAGATGACAGCCCGGCACGAGCCGTAACAACACAAGCAAATCGGAACAGCTGGGTGGCAGCCACCAACTTTTTTTCTGCCTTGCAGTACGTCTCCCTGTTCATACTTCATGTACTCCAGCGATGCACTTACAGGTGTATCAATGAGATTTAAGAGGTAGTTTGTTCCTTCGTGGTTATAAATGAGGGAAGCTGTCTGGGCTTTAACCGTGATTCCTCTTTCCCGTTCCACTTGCAATTTATCCAGCACCTGTTTGTTATGGTCAGTTTTGGCAATTGTTCCTAAAGGATCAAAGATATTCATCGATCGTTATTCATCGTGAAGTGAGAAAGAGCTGCCTTCTCCTCCCATGGAAGGGACTTTCTTCCACCAGCAAGTCCACCGAATGAAGCTTTGATGATTCCCTTTTCCTCCCAGTTACTCTGCAAATGCATCACTGACCACACTGCTCCAAAGCAGCCCCCAACTCTCTTGGAGCAGATCTGGGCAGACTCAGGAGGTGGCACAGAGGAATGACAACCAGCAAAACTCTACCCCACCCATCCAAGCCCCCACTAGACTGAAGAGCCTTCCATTAGTGGATGGATACCCCTCCTGTTAGCCCTCAATGCAGGTATCAAAGATCCATTTACACGGGTTGAGTTTCCAAATCAAAGAAAATGCATTAACATACAGGTAGCCCTCACTTAATGACCACAATTTGGACCAGCAACTCCATCGCTAAGTGACACAGTCATTAAGTGAAACATCACGTGACAGTGATGGACTTACAAGCACACTTTTCCCCACGGCCATTAAGCGAGTAACCATGGTCATTAAGCAAGACATCATGTGCCGCAATGGGCTTACAACCTCACTTCTGTCGCAATCATTAAGCAAATCACCTGTGCTTCATTAAATGAAATATTATGTGACCATGACAGACTTATGACGTTACTTCCCATTCAATTGTTAAGTGAGTCACCCACAGTCATTAAGCGAGACATCATGTTACCATGACTTGCGATTTCACTGCCAGCTTCTCCACTGACTCTGCCTGTCAGAAGCCGGCTGTGAAGAGCACAAATGGCGATCATGTTACCGTGGGATGCTGAGACAGTCGTAAACACCCACTGACTACAAAGCACCTGAATCTCAAACCCATGACTATGGAGACACTGCAACAGTTGTAAGTGTGAAGACCAGTCGTAAAGCTACTTTTTCAGCACCGTTGTAACTTTAAATGGTCGCTAAACAAGGCAGTCATTAAGTGAGAGCTACCTGTATTTTATTACAATATGCATTATGGTTCTAAGTTCATCCTGGCAACCACACTGTTCTCCAGAAAATTCAGCAGAAAATTCCTGAACCCATTTACAGAGTGAATGTTAGTCTCAGGATGGATGCACTGGAATATTTGCATGTAAATGTTTAGGCATCCTGGTTAAATTGTGCGTTTCAACAGCTCCCTAAGTGAGCAGCAGCTAACACAATCTTTACATGAGACAAAAATAAGGATGACCTCTTTCTGCAAATGTGAATGCATGCTTACTATTTAGGTGCAGTTGTTGATATTCAAAATAAGAAAACGGTGCAAATGCAGGACGTTGGGGAAATGAAAATTTTTTAAAGATGGTCCCAGCAGCACAATACCATATATATTTGTGGATAATCCCATCCACAGATAAGCCAACCCTTGAACTTTTAACTAAAGTATCATGAAAAATGTGCCACCTGTGGATAAGGTGATGCTCAAAATTTTCTCAAGTTTTAATTTTCACGATTGGCTTATTCGCGGGTGGCACATTTTTCATGATACTTTAGTTAAAAGTTCAAGGGTCGGCTTATTCACTGATGGGCTTATCCGCGAGTATATATGGGTACTTTAAAAAAGGATTACCGTATATACTTGCAGATAAGCCCTTCTACGGATAAACCAAACCCGGTTTTGGGAGTGTATTTTGCAACCTACAATTCTTGGCTTAGCTGTGAGCATATACGGTAAAACGTTTTTCACAATGCAAGTCTACTGTAGTTTCAGAACAGACGCACTGATAACGCAACAGCCATAACTTTAACACTTGTAAATGTAACAGAAATTCCAAAATTTCCTAATTTCTTGACTGTAAATGAATACGTTACAGCACGGCAATCAACTAAATTTTAAGAGTCACTTCTGTAGAGAAACGTGACATTTTAAGCGTGGGGATCTTAAATATTTGAAATATTTCTCCCACGGAACGTTCAGTAAATACAAGAAACTTGGCATCAGAATGCATAGCAAAATATAGAAGCATGACATATTATAAAAATTACCACACCTGTTATTTCCAGCAGCCTATCGGCTAAAGTGCTTTTGCCATGATCCACGTGGGCTACTATGCTAAAATTTCTAATATTTTCCGCCGGAAACGACGACATATCCACTGTATCCTAAAACAGATTTAAAAAGAAAAAAAGAAAAAAAAAAGAAACATTCAAAGGAGTAAAAGCCGTTTGAAGCAGACAAACTGCATCGTGGCAAGTGCAGTTTTGCAAAAACATTTATATTCTGATTACATCGTAATAATTTATAGTTCCTGCTCTTTGGAATTAAATGTTTTAACATGCTCACTTACTTTAATGGTAATCATCTCCTAACCGTATGAACTGTACGCATTTATGCAACGGAGACACCAGGAATATTGTAAAAAACAGAGTCTTAGGCTGTGTCTACGCTACGGGTTTCGATGGTTTTACAGCCCAATCCAATCATTGCTGTACCAGTAATGAAAACCGTAACGATGTCACTAGAAACCCCTGGTTGGGGAATGGCTTTCATTGGCAATATGTTTACTTACTTGACAGTCACAGAGAACACAAAAAAGCCTACTGTATTTATGAATAAACCTGAAAATACTCCGGATTCTAATTCCGCATTACTGAAACAAATCTTGTTTTAGTAACCCTTTAAATCAACTTTCTCCAATCCAGCGTTCTCCAAATTTGTTGGGACTGCAACTCCCAGAATGCTTGGCCATCATGGAATTGCAAACACAACCGACGTGGAAAATACTGGGCTGGTGAAATCCTCATTATACAGTATGTTTTTTCAACATCTTATTAACGTCACTGTACCTAGTGAACACATCACAGCTCACTCATGTTTATGATTGTAAAAGGACAGCCCTAGTTCAGGAATGAAACATACACACGGTTCCAGATTCTATACCTATTCTGTAAAATACCTGTTGGGCAGCATTAAATAAATCCTAATTATTACAAAATGAATGAATCAACGTTTGGCCAGGAGGCTGGTCATCTCCACTTAGAAATCAATCAGACAGACAGAAAGGGACTCTGTTGAAGAACGAAAAAAGAAGAAAAGCCAGAGACATTCCAAATAAGGAGGAATTACTTTGATTCAGAGTCACTGTACCTTTGGGAGCAAGCTGAAAAAGTTACCACCTTCCAAGTAGCATAGAATTAAGTTTTGTGGACACAGGATGTTGGACTAAGTTGAATTTTTGGCCTTTGGAAGGAAATCATGCATATCGTTTGTAACCTAATAGCATTTCTTTATTGACAACCTTAGCTGAATAAATAAAGGTCACACAAAAGGGTCTAAAAGCATAGGGTATGGGAAGCGAAGGTCTTGGAAACTCTAATAGCAAGGAGGAGCCGTTGTGGAGGATATGAGAGTCAACAAAGACGAAGAATGTTGACAGGAGATTCTAGAGAGATGCAACCACATAAAGGTGAGATAAGGGAAGACTCAAGAGGGGAAGACTGGAGCAGAGAAAGTAGAGGAGATAATTCTGGAAGGGAAGGGATAGAGAGGTATGCCATGAATATGTAGGCATTACAATAATTACAATAAAAGGGCTAAAGCAATCTTTTAGCATGCATTGAAAAAACAGGGCAGGTAGCTTCACAAAATGGATCCCATAAGGAATGGCTGTGATGGAGGTAAATTCCACTGCAATACGTGAAGTGTTACTTTCAGATAAGGGTGGCTAGAACTGAGATTCTATCGAGAAGCCTCTCGCTTCAGTTAAAAAAAAAAGCCATGTTCAAGTAAGTATTACATATCAGAGAGGAGGAAAATTTCAAATGGACAGGAACAATTACATGATGCCATAAATTTCAAATTAAAATGAACACACACTTGTTATCAATACAGAAACGTTAGTCATAAATTATTCTGCAATTCTGTTATTAGTAAATGTAAAGATTCCTTAAAAGCTGAAATCTCCAACAATTAGGTGTGGGCAAGTAACATAAATAGCAATCACCTTGTATGTCCTGGAGCAATACTGCCTTGAGAAAACTGCATGGTGTAGAGGTGGTTTTTCCGTCCAAGGAGAAAGATATGAAAAAACGGTAGCTTTGTGGGACAACTTACACCTGACAGAGATATACAGTGCCCTTTTTAGGAATGAAGGCATGCTTCCAGAATAACTGCAGGGTCACTGTCCAGACTGAGCAAAGGAAACGTTCACAACAGACTATGATTCAGCACAATGCTTCCGCACATAAGGTGTGCTCATTTCTATAATGACCAGAGGCAGCCTTAGTCCACGTTTCCAAGACCGAGGCAGGTATTCTTCAGAACAACAACATCAAAAGGGCAGAAAAAACAGGGATCCCATTCACAGTGTCCATTTCCTCTTTCCATAGGTTGACATGCTGGATAAATCCTGCAAAAGAGAACGCTTCAACTTTTTTTTTTACAAATATACGTAAGTTGTTCCAATTTTTCTTTCCTTTCTCTTTCCTTAAATTTGCAATCTATACTTTCTGGGAGATACGTCACTTCCTAAAGAACAAGCAGCAGGGCATGACATGGCAGACACAAGGATGACTTGCAGTGACAGAAAGGTATGGAGAAGTGCAGTGAATGATGTTGCCATAAACTAGATTTAGCTGATTTTCCTCTTCTTTTTGTGCCTTTGATTTCTGCTGCTTATGAGTTCTTACTCCTTTTCTTCACTTTGTATGGTGATCCTTGCCCTAAAAGGGAAGAGTGATGGAAATGTATTTCACTTGCAGCAAGCTGACAGCCCATGACAAAGAGCAGATGAGCTTCACTTAAGAACCTACTTTTGACAGGTAGTTTGCTAAACCTCACTTCCATGGCACCGAGTGCAATGCATGACCTCACTTCCTCCTCTGCTTTAAACTTATCAGGACACTTAGTTTCAGCATTTGGTTTCATTACGAGGTGTCCCTGAGAGAGGTGGGAAGGTCAGATGATGAAAGCAGTGTTGCACCATCATACTATAAGCATGAGGAAGGGCAATGCTGGATAATATGAAATCTGGAATCAGTAATGCTGCAGGCATCTTGTGGCGAGAACCAAAAGGATCTCTCGTTAACAGCACATTGACCTTTTCTGGGCACTGTTGGAACAGAAAGAGCTTGGAGTTTGATCTTAATTTTCTAAAGCTCTAAACGCTACCTGACAGCATACATGTCTCAAACTATTAACTTGCCAAGGCATTAAGATCAGCAGGAGAGATCTCTTGAAGATGTCCGCACTTCCAGAAGCCCATCTGCCAAGAGAAGGACTTCTACGTGTCCTTCCCAAGCTATGGAAAGCATTCCCTTGAGGGCTGTGCTTTCAGTTCTTTCCACTTTCAAGCTGCATTAATGCTATTTTTAAGTGTTTTATTTGCAGTTTAAATTACCATGTTGTATTTTAGACCATTATCTGCTTTAGGTGTTCTATGCACCAAAAGGCACCTATTGTTCATACTTACTTTTAAAAACTGAAAAGTTCCAATATGCATTAAATATAAAATTAGATTTGTACATTTCATAAACCTGGTGAAATTTTGAAATTTCAATTATATTGGTGTTTTATTTATTTCTTTCCTTTTTTGCCTCCTGTTAAGTTCTGGTTTGTGCTGGCTTTTTTGCTCCTCCTTTTTCCTAGCATTATTTAGTCTTTTTAGGCACGCTGTGCTTCTTATCCTAGTTTTACCATTTCTATCATCCGGTATTTCCAAATCCTCTCCTCCAGAAATGGAGCTGCACAGAAGCCAAACCAAAACTGTTCCTCCTATGAATTATGAGAGTTGTTTTTTTTAAAATCAGCTGCAATAAAAACAAATCTCTACTACTGGATGCAGTAGTAGTAGTAGTAGTAATAATAACAATAATGGGAGGCTGGGTCACATCCTCACCCCACCGTAACACTATCTCACCTTCTGTACACAGGAACTGTGGATATACACGTATCTCTCCCCTGACTTTTCACAGCGCACAGCGCCTGGTTCCCAGCCCTCTCACACCCACTGCATGGGCAGGGCGGGAGACTTCCAAGGACGAGAGCCAATTCACGCGCGGAAGCCCACGACCGTCCCCGGGGAGACCCGCTGCAACGCTCCCGCGCCGCCACCGGCCGTCCGCACGAGGCGCGAGCAGCCCGTCCGCCAAGCGTCGCAGCGAGAGGCGCGCGCACCCGAAGCCCCCCGCCGGATTCCGCCGCGGCGACACGAGCCCCCTCCTGGGAGGACAGGGACAGGGAGATAGAAAGGTCAGAGATACGCGCACGTCCTGACTTCGGAGGCGGACTGTAGATGGTAACGGATGGCATCTTGCTCAGCCGCCGGCAGCACGGAGCACCTAGGCATACGCGTGGCAGTGGGTGAAGAGGGGCTGCTCTGCAGAAGGCTGGCCCATTTCCCTCTTTGCCCTTTGTTCCCCGCTCCCTCCACCCTGCGACAGGAGTCTTAGGAGTTTTCACCCGGTGGGAGCTATTTGGCGACAGCCGCCCTGCAAATAGATTCCTCCCGTGTTTCCCATAAGCAGCTCTTAGGCTGGCTGGCAGAAAGAGCGCCTCAAGAACTAACCGGAAGAGAAAGCCACTCTATTCTTTTCAAAAGTCTATAAAGAACCGGGACGGAGAAAGCACTCAATGCGCATGCGCCTTGAGCACAGGCTAGGAAAGAGTTCATTGGCTAACCGCCCCGGCGGGTGGGAGGAGACCTTCGCGGCACCAGCGGCGCTTCCGTCCCTCCGTGGTCGTCTTGGAGACCGCGGCGCAGCTTCTGCTCGCGACGATGTTAAACTACAGCTCCCGGCAGCCTCAGCCGGCGGGGCCGATGACAAAGCTTTCTGGGAATTGTAGTTCGGGGCTAGGTTGTGTTTCTCCAGCTCGCCCGTACGACTTCAATGGGTCGGTGGCTGGTAGAATCACAGAACCGTCGGGTTGGGAGGGACCCTGGGTCTCTGCTGCTTGTCCCCCCTTCCCTTTAAACCGTCTGCGGACCTTTTCGTCAGAGGAAATCCAGCTTTTCCAAAAAACCTGATGGGCAGGGCTTCAGATCCGACGGAACCCCTCTGGGTCGGCTGTTGAAAAGGAA